CGTACAATTTTATATATGCTATAGTTTTCTTTTTTAAGTTGGATTCTTGGATCCACTTCTGAATGGGTACTATCGAAAGAGTACTGAAAATGTGAATTAATAAATTAGTTCTGTATAAAAGATAAAAGAGAGATTAGGTTCTATACAAATTTAACCCGTGTGCGCATTGTAGGGTTAAGATGATTTCTCGTCGTTGTAGATACCGTCGATAATTTTGGACGCGTCGAGTGCAATTTGTTGAATTCGCTTACACGTAACATATATGAAAGCCACAGTGCAGCCGAATTTCCATCTGAGATTACGGGGTTGTTGCACTTTATCGACTTATTCTGTCGCGCCGTTCTCATCAAGGTGTAACACGAATACAATAATAAATCTTTCGCGTCCACATATTGGATAATAAGAAGTAGGATATTATATATAATTTTGTAATTTTATTTACAATTTTTCCTATAAACCGTGAGAGAATGATTTCAGTCTGCATATCTAGTAAAATTGGAGGGAAAATGAGTTAAGCAATAATTAAACATCGTTATTTATTTCATGACATTGTGTTTACCATCCAGAGGCGATTTCTGGGAGATATCTAGCAGACGGAAATCATTCCTTCATAGAACAAAATCCGCATCAAAATAGCAATCCTGCTTCCATTTCCTCATCATGAGATTTTAATGCAGATATCTGAAAGAGCGAATAAACGCGAATATCTACAAAACTTATTTATATTTTTTTTAAAACATGCGTTTTTCTTACGCAAATACCACTTCGTATCATCCTCTCTTTCTCTTCTCTCTTTTATATGGGAAAGTTAAAAGAATAAAATTATAACTGATTTATTTGATACACAGTAGTATATTATACGTAATATAAAACAAAATCATGATTGCAACCATTATGTACAAAGAGCCTTTGTAATTCATATTTAATTTACAAGTGAATAATAAAATTGTGATAATAATCACATTAGAATTTACGTATATCGTTCTGTGTCACAAAGACTTTTTTTAATGCTGATTAGACACAAACGCAAGATGCCTTTAACCTGTTGATAGATCCTAAACAGGTAAACATTTAACATCAATAAAGTTGTTTCAATGGAACAGCAATATTATACAATTAAATATAATTATCATAGCATTCATTAATATCATTCCTAAAACATATATGTGTGTGTGTGTGTGTGTGTGTGTGTGTATGTGTGTGTAATAAATGAAAAATATTAATGAATATGACAATTATTAATTGCTAATGTATGGAATTATAACAACATAAGATAATATAACAATATAATATCGAGCAGCCTAAAAAAATATTTCATACTTTTGCCAGTATGTTTAATTTTTATAACATTTATATTTAAAAAAACCTATAAATTTTTAAAGACCGCTCAATATTTATTAAAAATATCACTGTAATATCACTAAAACATCACTAAAAATATCGTTAAAATATCACTAATATTCACTAAAATGCGATAAATGGAATGAAGTTAAAGCTATTGATATATCGATTTGTTTAAATTTTGAAAAATTGCATATTCAATATTTGACTTTCAGAATTTAAAATAATTACACAAAACTAGTATCAAATCTCGGCTTTAAATAAAATCGTCATGCTTACCGAATGTTTTAGACCGTTTATCATAAAGTATATGAGCTGCTTTACTTGACAGCAACTATTTGGTAATTAGAAATTATTTTTTATCAAACATGGTAAGATAGCATATTTAATGCCATGATTGTTCGAGTATTCCTCCTAAATATTGCATATGTATACAATTACACTAAAATAGATTACATAGATTTATTAAAGGTTAGAATATTATATTAGCTGTTAGAGAAATGCTTCTCTTGGGAGAAATGCGAATTCAGTGCACATCGAAATGCATTGATACCAAGGTTGGCAGACGTTACTTTGCCGTTATTTTTTATAATAAACAATTTTATAATGACATTGCAATTTTTAATGACGATAACGTTAACTAATCTAAAGCTAAGGTTGTATTAAGGTTGGAAAAGCCACTTTAAAAAAATAACTTGCCACCAATACATATTTCTTATTAAAATAAGTAATAAGTAACGAGTAAAAACTAACGCGTTACAAATTAGGAGTTATTTTCAGTAAAGAATGACTTTTTCAACCCGAATATAAACAAAGATAACGATCAAAAAGTAACGGCCGTTACAACGTTACAAGTAACGCGTTACTTGCCAACCCTGGTTGATACATACATAATATCCTAGCATTATTCAACAAAAAGTACTTTTCTCTAATTATATTCACTACATTGATATATTTTATTGCAGTAGTGTGTGCCACCCAATGGATTCAATAACTGCAAATAAAATAGCTTTACAACTGTTATAAAATTGTTTAATGTGATTGGTTTTGTCAAATTCTTCTGCCTATGGCTATATTTTAAAACGTCCTCTCCGACAAAAGTTTTATTCGATATAATATAGTACACGTTATATATACTATATATTTTGAGTAAAATTGTATAAACCAAATATATTAAAGAATTTTACAACAGTTGTAAAACTGTTTTTTTCTCTTAAACGCAGCCGTTTTTTTTTGTACAAAACATTCACACTTACCGAGAAAAAAATCATAATATGAGATAATATATGCTCAATCTTCTGCGACTAGATTATGACTAAAGGAGATCTTTTCCTAAATAAAATAGAATGTATAAGGAAAGCTGGAAACTTCTAACCGATTTACAAACGGAAATTTATCAAACTTAACTCTTGTTTCTACATGGTCGACTTATGTATAATGTGCTGTCAGAGTACAATCAATTAGGCCAGTTCATATATTTTAATATGACAAGGATGCTAGGTATATATGAATTATTAATTATTATTCACTGTTAATGATAAGATTTTGTAGATATGATTTATGAAAAACTAGTGTAGAATGTTATATGTAGAGCATGTAATTTTACTCACGATAGGGTGACACCGTGCTATACTGCTTAATATGAAAAATTTGAAGATATTTCATATTATTTTTTTTATCTTTCAACAC